AGCATGTAGTTATCTAGGGTGACACGATGAGGATCTGGTTTTGAAGTGTTGGTAGGTTTGTCAAAGTTGGTAGGCTTGACTGGTGGAGGACTTCTCTTTTTGACTTGTTTTTTGACTTTCGGATTGAGATTTTCAGGTTCGTCAAATTCAGAGTCGAAGTTGGAGGTACGATTTCGCTTTTGGACTGGTTTTTTGACTTTTGAGACGGGAATTTGGGGTTTGTCAGAGTCAGAGTCAGAGTCAGATGATAGAGTTTCGTCTTTGTCCTCTTGGGAGATATCTTTGTCGCAATCAGTATCTGGTGAATCTGGGTCACTGTGTTTTTGTTCACTTTGACGTAGACGCTTAGACAAACGCAGCAAGGGCTGGTTAGATCGCTTAGGAGGAGCTGGAGGTGAGTTGTTCCGTCGATGTGGCCTTTTAGAAGATGGAACCGAGGTCATATGATCTCCTTCATCATCTGGTAATGGTTCGACGTCATCCAGAGCTTTTTCGCTAGCGGTCAAGCTTAATCGCCTCCGGTTGGTACGTGGAACTCCATCTCGCCCTCTTCCTTGGTCAGATTGCTTAGGAGGTGCTGCAGGTGAGGTTTTCCGTGGACGTGGCCGTTTAGAAGACGTGACAGTTTTCTTGTGCTGGGTGGAGCCATCGGTAGGTTTGTTGGATCGACGAGGAGGCATTAGCGATAAATTGGAGTGCTTGAGATGATGGGTAATGAGGTAATGATGCGTCTTGATTGATGTTCTTTCTCGAAGGTTTGATTTGGATTTGAGTTCTCCGTGTGAGTGGTGATAGAATATTAGGGTTATTAGACCTAATTTTACATATACACAATGTTACATATACACACAATGTCTGAATGATTCAGCATATGTATGCTGCGTGATGTTTATGTGTGATATGTGTGAGGATAGTGCGTAAAGAGCTGAGTGGTAAGGAATGATCCCACTGTCGTGGGTATGAAGTTAGTTACATGGCGGTGTCATAAGGTGCGTGTGGATCCTGTGTGATGCATGTGTGTTTTGTGTGAGTGACCTGCGTGAGATGAGTATGTAAGGTGCGTGGAGCCATGATGCATGTGAGGTTTCTTGAGTAACATTACATATGTTTGTCTTGTGAGTGTATGAGGTGACGTACACTTGTTTTATAAGGTGCCCACGTGGAGATACTGCGTGATTGAGGTGAATACACATGAGTGAAATGTGTGAGGTGAGTATGAGGATATGTGTCTTGTGAGGGTATGGACTTGCGTGCAGCTGATTGAGTTACATGTGTGAAAAGTATGTGTGGCCTGAGTGTGATGACTGTGTGAATGTGTGAGCCACCTGCGTGGAGGCTGGTACTTTTGTTATTGTGTGTTCTTGTATGTATATGCGTAAAAAATGTCTAAGACAACCCTAAGACAACCTGAGAAGCTCTCATGAGATGTTTGTGATGGTTAAGTTGATCATTTGAGTGGTTTTATGATTGCATCTATACGTAAATGAAGGGACTTGTGATGTTTCCGAGGTGACCTCAGAGGCATCTGAGGCATCTGAGACACATCTGCTGCGATTCTACGGAGCCGCTCCGAAGATGCGGTACTCGTTTTCCTCGGTACAGCTCCGAGTCTTTAAGGTTCACGAGGTGTTTTTATCGTCTAAAGGGCGAGTTGTCTGATAGTCAATCTGCTAGAATGCTTCTTGGAGCTATACCTTCACTTACTATTGAAACCAAGGAATACATCCATAATACGGTCATACCTTTAACTCGAGAAGGTGTCGGTAGATATCTCAGGAAGTTTGAAGAGCGTCACGGTTGGACAACTACAGCTGTCCGAGAAGTTCACTCAGTTTCTGTTAAATCATCCAAGAAAGAATGTACTCCGGATGAATGTTTTGGTCCCCATATGGCCAAAAATTGCTGGTCGAAACCTGAAAACGCCGACAAACGTGCAGCCTTTCTTGCTAAAATCCGAGGAAAATCTTCAGCCGGTGTTTCCACTCCCTCTTCTCATTCGCAAACTACTCCAGGTATTAGGGGTGTGAAGAATGTGTACGACTCAAATGTCAATTCAGCCTCAGCAAGTATGGCCTTTCTTTCTTTAAATGTGGAATTTGTGGAGATGGTCGATTCAAATCAGTCACTTTCTGAAGAAATCTTCTCAGCACCTTCCGAATTTGAAGAAGATCCAGTGGTTAGCGCTTCTGTTTCGGCTGTTTTGGGAAGTTCTAGCGATTGGGCTCTCCATGATACTGGAGCTACCCATCACATGTTCAAAGATGTGAAATATTTCGATCAAGTTTCTCTAGTGAAGATTGAAGATGCCAGTAAGCGTCTGAAACTGGCCGGTGGAGACATATCTCTTGCCGTTCATAGTAGGGGTGTTGCTAAATTACTCGCCGGTGACGATTCAGTTTTTGAACTCAAGAATTCTCTCTACGTACCGGAGCTTTCACGAAACCTCGTAGCCGGTGGCTTGCTCAAGAAACAAGGTGTTAGGGAAATTTTTCACGACAGCAAGAATTTTTTGCTAGTTTTAAACGATCTTGCTATATTTAATGGTTTCATTAACCTGATGTTCATCCTACTCCAACCTGTGAGTCAAGGTACTTCATCATCACTCTCAGTTTCAAGTACTGAAATCTCCTCATTGCTTCAACACCGACGTCTAGGGCATGTAAGCTCTAAGTATCTCAAATTGATGGCAAAAATGGAAAGTGTGGAGGAACTTGCTTATTCAGATGGAGATTTAAACTGTGACATTTGTTCTCTTTCCAAAAATACCAAATTACCCTACAATAAAACTAGACACCGGGCTCGTGACTTCTTAGAAAACGTTCATGTAGATCTTAGCGGAATCATTAGAACCTCTGGTCTGAACAATGAAAATTACTTTGTTTTGTTTTGTGATGATTACTCCGCTTATCGACACATTTATCCTTTGAATGGAAAATCAAAAGAAGAAGTTTACGATGTTTTTATGGCTTATCTTGCCGTTGCCGAAAGGCAGACCGGTTGTTCACTCAAACAATTTACCCTTGATTGGGGTAGTGAATTTTTAAACAACTTACTCGGGCAGAAACTTAAGGAACTTGGAATCACTTTGCATTTGACTTCCGGTCATTCTCCTGAAGAAAATGGCGTCTCTGAACGTGGTATGCGCATAGTCAATACCAGGGCCCGTTCAATGATGTTAGGTTCATCTTTGCCTATCCGTTTTTGGTATTACGCATGCAGTGCTGCTGTGTTCTTAACAAATCGGTGTGTTACTGCATCACTAGAAAGTGGCAAAACCCCTTTTGAGATGTGGTATTTTCGTAAGCCATCCGTACAACATCTTCGTGTGTTTGGCTGTCAAGCTTTTGGTCTTATCCGAAAGGAACTCAGGGACTCAAAATTTTCGCCTGTTAGTTCTGAAGGAGTGTTGATTGGATTTCATCAAGACAATTTTAATTATCAAATTTATGATCTGTCAGCAAAGAAAGTTTATACAACTCATCATGCCACGTTCAATGAAGATGTTTTTCCCTTCAGTTCTGGTCCTGTTATCTCCTCATCTATGAACTCAAATTCAGATCGTCATTCAGTTAAGGTCCAGTTCTTTGATGAAGACAGCGATTCTGAAGATGTCCCGGAGGCGACTGTTCCTGCTGTTGAATCGTCAAATAAATTAGATGATCAGGTACCAAGTCAGATTGATAAAATTTCTGACTCTACGGCACCTCGACGTTCAACCAGAGCCACGAAGAAGCTACACAACTCACTCAAAGGAATGTGCTCTATTGCTGTTTTCGAATGCGACTTTGTAACTGGTTCATTCTTTGCTGCTTTTCCCCCAGAAGCAAATCTTTCAGATATTCATTCAATTCCTGATCCCAAGTCATATAAGCGGGCTATGGAATCCTCCGAAAATGATCTCTGGAGAGCGGCGTGTGATAAGGAATTCAAATCTCTTAAAGATAAAGATGTTTGGGTATTGGTTGACCGTCCTTATAATAAAAATGTGATTCGTGGGATGTGGGTGTTTAGAAAGAAGCAATCGGTTCAGGGGGTGTAAAGTATAAAGCACGTTTTGTAGCTATGGGAAATACTCAAATTCCTGGTCAAGACTACGGCGAGACGTTTGCTCCTACTGGAAAACCTGTTTCTCTCCGCATCTTAATTGCTTTTGCTGCTATCATGGGTTGGGAGGTGCATCAAATGGACGCAGTTACTGCATTCCTAAATGGTGATCTGGACGAAGAGCTTTATGTTGAAATACCTGAAGGTTATAGAACCAAATCTTCGATTGGTAAAGTTTGGAGGATGAAGAAATCTCTGTATGGTTTCAAACAGTCCCCTAAGATATGGCAAGATGATGTTGAGGAATTCCTGATTGAAATTGGTTTTGAACAGTGTGAAATTGATCATTGCATTTACATTCGCTCAAAAAACAACCTATTCACTGCTGTTTATGTACATGTTGATGACTTAGCTATCACCGGAAATGATATCAGTACCTTCAAACTCGAAATCTCTGCAAAATGGGAGATGGAAGATCTGGGAATTGCTCATCCGGTTGTGGGTATTCAGATTGATCGAATAACTGAATTCACGTATTCTATGTCTCAACAACAGTATGCTCTCACTGTTCTCAGTCGTTTTGGGATGGTCGACGCAAAGCCTGCAATTACACCTTGGGCACCAAACGTGAAGATTGTAAAATCAACTGATGAAGAAGCTCAAGAATTGGCATTAACCAAGCTGCCCTACAGAAGTGTTGTTGGATCACTGATGTATTTATCTCAATGCACACGTCCAGATCTGGCTCATTCTGTCGGGGTTCTTTCTCAGCATCTTGAAAGTCCTGGTAAACTTCACTGGGAGGCTGCGATGCATGTTTTAAGATATCTCAGTCACACTGTCAATATTGGTATTGTTTACTCTGGTGCGGCTCCTAATCCTGTGGAAGGCCAACGAAGCTTTGAATGTCCTCTTTCTCATTGTGACGCGGACTGGGCCGGAGATGTCAACACTCGTTGATCAACTACTGGTTATGTTTTTGTTCTCGCCGGTGGTCCCATTTCGTGGAGAAGTAGGCTTCAACCAACGGTTGCACTTTTGTCTACTGAAGCTGAGTACCGTGCTATTACTGAAGCCGGTCAAGAATTGCTCTGGTTAAGAAATATGATGACTAGGTTTGGATTTACGGACCCCAATCCCACAATTCTTCATAGTGACAATTTAGGTGCTATTCATTTAACTTCAAAGTCAATTTTTCACGCTAGAACAAAGCATATTGAAATACATTATCATTGGATACGTGAGGTGGTAAAAAAGGGGGATATGGTGATCAAACATTGTCCAACTCATCTTATGGTGGCAGATTTATTAACTAAACAATTACCAAAAGAACAATTTTCAACACTTAGGAAGAGTCTGGGTTTATTGATGTCAAGACCCATCGCCAAGCAGACCAAGTGTTAAGATACTATCTCATTGTAGTGGTCAAAGATCTTTACGAATAAGGAAATAGAGTTGGTCAGTTGAAGCGTTAAATGTTCGGTTAGGCTAGTGCGTAATTCAAAGCAAGTTGTTGGTAGTACAAAGGGGTGCAGATCGGTTAGACATCAATCAAGGGGTAATGGATTTGTTAGAATTGCTATATGTATTGTTGTGTCTCGTTTCTCCCTCTCGCTCTGATTCTTTTCCTCGTCAA